GAAGCGGACCATCGACCCCTTCCAGGCGCCAACGCCGGAGGCCATTCAAAAGGCGGAAGAGGATGTGCAGCTGAGCCTAGCTCTTGGTATGGGTGTGGCCCGGAGGTTTGTGGAGATTTCCTTTGACCTCAGGGCCAGTTGAAATGGAGGCTTGCAACCTTGTGAAGTTGGAGTGGAAGGAAGCCTCTTTCGACTTCTCGTCTGCTTGGCCGTTGGCTTCTAACTGCAAATGTCGAAATGCGTGGTCAGGCCAACTAGGTTCAAGGATTTGTTAGACAACCACCTTTTCCTGGCATGAGTTAGAAGGTCTTAGTCTCCCAGGTGTCTTTTAGCTCGCTGGATTCCAGTCAAACCACCACAGGGATCTCAAGTTGCTCAGGTTGAAGTCCTGCGGGGTGCAGGGCCCATGTGCCATGACGAAAAACTGCGTGAACACGATCCATTGAATCCATGCAGGTCGTCAAGCAACCCAGGGCTTTTCTAATTGGGGGGGAGAGGGGGTCCCCAAAAAGCAAAAAATCCCCTCAAAGTGACACAAATGGGAGGCCCCAGGGTTTCCAATGAAAATGCCGTGGTTGGCGCTGGATTTTTAGAGGCACAGCTCGGTACCAACTTTCTTCGGGTTGGCTTAAAGGAAACGGAAGCCAATTGGGAGCCCTCCTAGCCCGGTGAATCAACAACTTAGAAATTTCCGGAGTTGTTTGTCCCCCTCCATTATCATACACCCCCAAATCTCTCAGCACAACAAAAACAATCTCAAGGGGCATCCCTTAGCAATGCAGTAGTTACTCATCGCCAAACCCCCAAGTTGGATTGGAGTGGCTTGGAGCCTGGGCGTATTCTCTTTCCTCCTTTGGACCTCATTTGGTTCCTGTGCCCGGGTTGCCAGGGCTTTTGTCTTTGAGCTGCTCCCAAGGCCCCCAAGGACACATAAAGGACACCCGCTGTCCAAGAAAGACTCCACTACCCCTAAACCATACCGGGAAACTAGTACATTTCATTTGTTCACCTCTTCATCATTCTTTGAGGGTATTAACCCCCCCCCATTTTTCTCGAAGGGTAGTGGTTCGCGGGTGGAATCCCTTGATGCTGTGGATGCCCTAAATGATGTCCACAAAGGGCTCATGAAACCATCCACCCCAGCTCGTTCCGAGGATCTACCGCCAGTTCTCGAGCTTCGTGAAGAGCAACCGGCCGCACATGGACCTCGGCACCACTGCCACCGGGGAGGTGTGGTTCGGCCAGGAGGCTCTGGACCGAGGACCGCTTCGGGGTCTTGAATGTGCCAAGGGCGCCTGCTTGGGTGGCTGGTTGGGGGCTGAACAATTGGACCCGCGTCAAGTTGGGGAGATTGGGTTGGGTGACATTTTGAGGTTCCATGTTCAGTCTTTGGACTTTTGGTTCAAACAAAACCGGCCTGGCGGGGTGAGCAGCGAGGGGCGATCGCATAGCAAACGCGCCGGCCAAGTTCCTGGAATTGTATGTTTCAATTTTCCAGTGGGGAAGGCTATGTGACTAAAATGAAATTCATGCCCCCCCCCCCCTTGCTTCCTCCGAAGGCTGACTTTGCGACAAAACCTCTTTGGGTGAGTGGGTCTCTGAATTGTCTTTTGGTGTTGCGACTCCCCTCACCAACGAAGCAAACTACCTTTTGCTCAAGGACCACAACTTTGCCACACAAATCGAAGGTTGCCACAACTGTGAACCTCTCTGCAATATCTTGGACCGGGAAAGCAAAGCAATCATATCAGGCGCTTCTGCATGATCTATGCCTGGAGTGAGTTGCTTACTTCTTTGCCTTGCGCGAACCACAAACCAGGGTTGAAATGCGGCGTGGTTGCTCTTGTGCATTTTATTTGTCTGGCAGGCAGGTGGCACGACAGGGCAAGACATAGCCTGCGGAAGTCAAACCTACGAACCCCCAAAACCGAGCCATAGACGATGTGAACATTAATTAGGGCCGTGTCTGAGAAGCGCAATCCGGCGGGTTTCTTGTGTCATTGTAAAAGTATCTTCATGCAAATGGGGCAGAGCCTCTCCGGAACACAGGACCGGTTGCAAACACCACATGTCATGTGGCCTGATGCTTCCATGCAAGCATGGCAATGCCAATCTCAGGTGCTTAAACAATTGCTAGAATGCACATGTAGAGAGAGAGGGAGAGGGCGAGCGAGGGAGGGAGAGGAGAGAGAGGAGTGTTCTTAGCCCGAGCTTTGGACGCTCTGGGGTTGTTTGAGCTCCCCACGCATTGTTGTTTTCCTTGGCAACATCGCACGTTTCGTGTTTTTGTTTTCCTTTTCGTGCGTGCCTTCAGAATCGAAGGACTGGTGGATGAGCTTCAGACCTCCTCGGAGTACCTCATGCAGCATATGAGGAAGGGCATGGAGGTCCTGTCCCTTACCTACAGCGCGAAGCCCAAGGGCTTTGCAGGCACGGGGGGATAAGTAAGACTCTTTCAGGAAGGTTCCGGGATTTGTGTGATTTGCCATTGACTTCGGTGTGGTTTCCTCTCGGTCCGTTTTCCTCTCGGGAGTTGTTTGCGGCTTCCCGGGGCCCTGGGAGGGCCCACTGAAACTGCGCGAGCGCCAGGCTTGGCAATGGACGTGGCGCAGGCGGCCCAGGCGGTGCAGGCTCTCCAGGGCCTCAGCGAGCCCTGGACAGATCGGTCAGGATGGTTGAGGGTTTCGGATATCGGATGGCTTGAGGGAGGTTGGTCGTTGGGGTTGAGAATGGGGGCTGAGGATGGCCCAGGGTGGCTGTGGTTGATAGTTTGAGGATGACTAGCTCAAAGGTCTTGCACAGAGCCCTTTGAGCCTTGTTTCTGGCAGCCAAACTAAGCTTTGGATGTTCTCTCGCCGCGGCATTCGTGGCGTGTGCAACCGCCACTGGGTTAGATCTCAGCATGAAACACATGAGGAAGCTGCACGAGGAAGCTGTGTATAGTGTAATTTATTTTGTTAGATATGTTTACAGACCCTGCAGCGGGTCAAACAGTAGTGGCGCTTTGCAACACTTAGCCTCGCGTGCGACATTCTAACCCTGGGGCCAGTCACCAAGGGTTGTGGCGCCACGAACCGACGCCCGAACCCGACACCTCGACATAAACTCAAGGAACACAACACCAGGTCCTCGAGCGCGCCTTGTTTCTGGCAGGCTTAAGTGAAACAGCACCAGGTCATTGGCTAAAACCCTGTAAAATGAAGGCGACCCTTGGAAACGAAGCCTACACCAAGCTGAAAACCCCTGTAAAACGAAGGCGAACCTTTAAAACAAAGCCTCCAGGGATGGTCCGTTTTCGCACTTTGAATTTTGGAGATAGCCCACATCAAGGCTTGTGATGGCGTGTTTGGGGGGCATTTGGTGCGTTTCAGGACAGGTTGCCAAGGGAACCGGCACGTGGAGATGCCCCTAGATTGAAACTCGCTGACGGCATGTGAACCCTCACACTGGCATGTTAACACCTCAAACCACGGCGGGGGCAGATTGAACAATTCTCATCGGACAAATGCGCATTGCCGCTCGGGGGATCAATCTGGGAATGTGTGATCCGAAGTGGACATGAACCATAGCTGTCCTTGGTCAGCTTGGTTGAAAGTAAATGGATGATTCCATTGGTTTCAGTTTGGTTCTCTTCATCTGCCTGTGGCATATATAGGGTTCCCAATGTTTTCACTTAAAACATTGCCCCTACTCAGATGCCAAACAGGAGCAAACAGCCGCAACATTCTTCCAACGGTGCACGGGCATTGCCTTTTCGAGGCCAAGACAGATTTCGCGCAGACTGCCGAGCTGATGGCCGGACTCTCCAAAGATGGATGGCCGGCCACTCTTCCTGAGCCCCGAGTGGAAGCGCGTGGACCGTTTCTCGGGGGCAACTACGGCTTCTGAGGCATGTGAAAATATGTCTCAGGCCAAGTCACCTGAAACTTGGCCAGGTTGCGACCCAATTCGGGTATGGGCTAGCTGTCCCTGGCCCACCCATTTTCAGCCTAGGGCCTTTGCCTCCCTGACCGCGGGGAATTCGAGGCCTTCATACGATGTGACGTGGTGTGACCCATGCAAAGGGCGCTGTGAGGGGGTGGGAGGGGAGTCCCAACAGGCCCCACCCAATCCCAGTCGGTCTAGTGGAAGCTTGGCTGTCGCTTTGTTGCTTGCTTAGTTGCTTCGCTCACAGTCCACAATATTTTCTTTCCTGGGGTTTCGGGGAAAGGACCTGATTCTGAGCCAATGTGCGGGTTCCTCGAGCCACCAGGGCAGCTGGTTGGTTAGTTGAGTTGGTGGGTTGGGTTGGGTTGGGTTGGGTTGGGTTGGGTTGGGTTGGGTTGGGTTGGGTTGGGTTGGGTTGGGTTGGGTTGGGTTGGGTTGGGTTGGGTTTTGCTTGCGTGTTTGTTTATTTGTTATGTTTGTTTGTTCGTTCGCTTGTTTGTTGTCTCCTTGATTTCCCTGCTGGCTGGCTGGCTTCCTTGCTTGTTGGTTGGGTGGAGAGTTCGCTGGATGGTTGGTTACTGTGTGTCGGTTGGTTGGTTGGTTACTGTGTGTCGGTTGGTTGGTTGGTTGGTTGGTTGGTTGGTTGGTTGGTTGGTTGGTTGGTTGGTTGGTTGGTTGGTTGGGTGGGTGGGTGGGTGGGTGGGTGGGTGGGTGGGTGGGTGGGTGGGTAAGTGGGTGGTTGGGTGGGTGGGTGGGTGGGTGGTTGGGTGGTTGGGTGGTTGGTTGGTCCGTTACTGTTGGTTCGTCCGTGTAAGCATGCAAAAGCGGCGATGTCGACTTTGTGAATCCGGGCCATGCTAATCAGGGCACGGCCCCCTTTAACGGGGGCCAAGTTGACTTTAGAGGCATTCCTTTGTTTTGTACTCCTCCGAGTTGTATCGGAAGGTGAGACTACATGGCTGTAGCGGCCGTGTTTGTCCGGTTTGTTTCGGCGCTGGCTTCCAGCACTTGCAGGACTTGACAGGAAACGCTTTTCAATGGCACCTTCGAGAGGGGTCGGTTGTGCCACTGAGGTGTGCGCTGTGGCGCGCATCAGTCCCATGTCACTGATCGCCGCGTGGAATCAGAAGTGCCTGTGGCTCAGAGTCTTCAAACCTGCCGCGTGTACTTTCGGCCAGTGGCACTTTGAATGGGCAGGCTGGTTGGTTATCGATGCAGCCACGTCGCCCAGGGGAGTTCTTTTTCAGCATGCAGCTCTTGAGCCAGGCCCTGCACGACCTTCTATCAGACAAAAATTATCAGGCCTACTCCATGCTGGCGACCACAGCTGGGCATGCGGGTGGGGGGGCCTTGTCTAGGCATCTCAAGACAGGAGTTCTCCTCACCGAGTCACAAGGTCACCCAACGACACGCCAGCCAGATGAAGGTTGAGGTTCACCATAGCGACCTGCCCATGTCAGTCGGGCCACACAAATGCAACTTGTAGCCAGCCGCTGCATATTTAAGCGCGATCAGGTGTGTGTGTGTGTGGCGGCTGTTAGCCTCTCACGTCGCAACTTTGCTTGTCCTGATTTGCCTTAGCATTTGCCCAGATCCAGTTTCCCCTACAGTTGGTCGCCAAAAACCCTGGTGTAAGGCGAGGTAGCAACACCTCGTGCCCAATTCGAGGGGCTGGGTCAGGGGGCGAACTGGGCCCAAGGCTCGGGTCAGGAGGTGGTGAGACCCCGCGACCGTCTCCTGAAGGCCGCGCAAATGGGTAGGGAAAGGGGGGATTTCCAAGATGGTGTACTTCCCGTTGGGAACCCAAAGGAAACCAACCACTTTGGGGCTGTAATTTTGAGACCCCCCCGCCAAACGCCACTGGGACGGATTCCGATGACACGAGAGAGGGAGAGAGAGAGAGTATTTGCCAAGAGTAAGGGAAATTGAAACCTTCGGGTTTCCGATTCTCGGGCGACTCAGGGGGAATGGGGAAAGAGAGCTTTTGGATGAATTCCACTTTGGGAATGCCTTCTCACCATATGGATCCCTCGAAAGGGAGCCGGATTCCCCAATCAAAGTTTCCTCCCTTGAGCACGCGAGGCGACCTGTCGCAAGAGCCTTGAATGAAGATGTGCATTTACGGATTTCCCTTGTGTAGCGGTTAGTCGATGTTTGGTGTCGCACAAGGGCTTGTCGGGAAGCAGAGGGTTTGTTTGATTGATGTGGCCTAACTTCCATCATGGCTTGGATGAAGAGAAGGCATGCCGGACCGCTGAAATTTGAAGGGCCAGCATATGTTCGAGTGATTGCCCAAGGGCATCACTTGGTTTTGGTTGCCCTTAGGTTTTACATTTGGCCTCCCACTTGGACATGGAAAAGGTTGTCCCCCAGCCGACCAGCAAACTACTTTTGTACCAACCACCAACCCATTGCCAGACTCAAGCAACGGGACTCTCCCGGGCAGGCGCTTGGGTGCACCTTTAGAAAAACGAAAGGCGACGTTGCCACTTTGCTTATGCATTGTGGTCTCATTCCCTTGTACGCACCTGGGGGTCAATGGCGTTTTCTAAGCTCGTCCAGTTTTCAGCAGGCGAAACCCTCGGGCTCACCCAAGAGTTCTTAGCATCTGAGCCGTAAGAGAACCAGGAACTTTTCCAAGAAGTTCGCCCCAAAAGCCCTGACTTTTTCGGGTCATTGGCGAATTTCCCTCGCGAATTTCCTGGAGAATTCTTGGACTGGTGCTCAGGGCCCATTTTGCTCTTCCCCGATTTCGGATTAGGGTTTCTCGGGGGTCAGGTGAACGGCCAAGGGGGGGACGGCGAGCGGCTGGCCAAAGCTCTGGCGCAGGGGCTGCATGAGCCCGGTGCCCACGCGCTGCCCCTCGGCTAGACGGGCGAAGCTTTGGGGGAGCTGTTTCTGGGAATCATTTTTTTGGGTTGCAATAAAAGGCAAAGTTTGGATGGGGATTCCCTTCCTATTTTGGGTTGCGTTTTAGTTATGATGGCAAAGCTTTGGATAGGGAGTGCTTTTTCGGGTTGCGTTTTCAGGGAAACAGACAGATCCAATTTCTGACCGCAGTGTTGTTTGAGAATGACATGCTTGCCACAGATGTGCTGACGAAATCCGTGTCTCACCACTCACTCTTGTTTGTTGAAGCAGCATGTTGAAGGCTGCGTGGCAAGCGTGGGATTGTGCAGTTGGGCATCGATCCTGAAGGCCGAAAAACCTGATCATGTCAGCATATACTTGTGGCGTCGGCCATTTGTGGCCTCTGTGGGGTACGTCCTTTTGTTGCGCTTGCGTGGCGTCCCTTGCATGCGACTTTCTGAGTGTCTGAGTGGTTTCTGCTTGGTTTTGAGCTATGGCTATGGCGTTGCAGCCTGAGTCTGGATCAAAAGTTATGCTTCATTGCGACCAACACATGCATGGCAGCGTTTGCCTGCCAATGTCATGGTCATTGCTATGATGTTGGAGGGTCCATGATGTTGGAAGGGACAGATGCAAACTACCCCCGAGGCAGTTTAGAGAGAGCCATCCCCAAAGGACATTTGAGAGCCCTCAAGATGTTCACCGTAGGGGGCCGGGCTAGAAAAGAAAACGCCAGGTTGCCCGAGGCGTTTCAAAAAGAAGAACCCCCCCCCCCCCCGCCCTAAGGGTTGAAAAATTGTTCCTGGTGGTTTGGGCAACTTTCTACCCTTGCCCCGGGTCTTTGGAGTACCAACCCCCTTTTTTGGAGTCAGCCCGCCTGAGGGGGGGAGACAGACAGGGCGGGAAATAGCCTTGGTATATGTTGAGAGTGCCCAACTGAGATCGCTTGGTTTTCTGAAAGCGATGAGTTGGCGATCAGGGCATTGGTCTCTCTTGTTTTAGTTCTGCTGTTGTCCAGGCTGATAGATTTGATGCCCAGCAATTACTTTGAAACCCAACCCTTGGCTGATGTTGCAGGTTTTTCAGCACCCCGCTTGCTTTTGGTTGTTCTCTTGGGCCAGGCATGTGGCTCAATGCTCACGCAAGCTTTTGTGACCTCTATTGCCTGGCCTTGCCACGTCAACATGTCAGATTCAAGTCACATTTGTTTTTTGTTGCCGGTCCGTTTGGACGACCAAAGGGGCACCCGGAAGAGTCCGCTTGAGTCAGAAATCCAGAAAGTGAAATGTTCTAAGCAGATTTAAGCAGCAGCGCAGTCTCAACATTTACAGCAGTATTCTAAGGGTTGATTCACCATGCTTTTCACCCATCGTTCGCTTTAGAAACCACCCATTTTCCCAGGGTTTGGCCCATGTTTGGAAGAGAAGGATCCATGAAGAGAATCGAATGGGGAAATCTGAAAGCTACAGGCGCAGAGCGATGGTGCCCTCCTTGCACTGCAAAGCTCACCCGTACATTTCCTCTGTGATAGTGCACTCGGGAACTATCAAGAGGACATGAACCAGTTTGGGACGTTGGTCTGTAGAGGGCCTGGGGCGCCTTAGCCAAGGTTGGTTTTTCAACACCCGGTAGCCGCTCGGAAGGATGAGACCCCATGGGCAGATGGATTGAGTGTGCTTCCCAAAGAATGAAGCAAAACGTGCAGATAGATATTGTTTGGCTATGTTGATTGCAGGCAACCGATGTGTGCATCTTGGTATGCAGTGTGGGGCCTCCTTGTCTGACAACTGCGACAAGCCTGCAAGCTACAAACTAGACAGCTTGCAAGCTACAAACGGGACTACGGGCGCCCTAGATTCGTAAATCTTCCTCAAGGTCATAGCGTGCCGGAACTCATGGGACAAAACGTGGCTGGGGACGCGAGGGAGTATCGCAATCTGGAATCAGCTTGGCCGGGCTCGGGGGGTGCCCTTGAACACTTAAGATCCCTTGCTTGAAAAGATTGTCCGCGTGTGTTAACGCTAGCTAGCGTTCTTTGCATGCTGAATAACAGTGTGTTAGTTCGGATTCAGTAGCACGTTTGTTCAATTTGTTGGATGGTGAGCGAGATTGTTATTGAGGGGCAATGCGGGGCTATTGCCTTCAAAGTGCAATCCAGGGGCTTGCTTGGCCAATCCTATGTTTCTGCCCTGCCATGGCCTTTAGCTTAGAACACCGGCGGCTGAATTACTAGGAGAAATCAGGAGGCCCCCAACACCCTTGGTTTCTGCAATCAGTGTTGGCAGCTAAAGAACACATGAGCCAGGCAGGAATTGAGACATGGCAAAACAAACACCACATCACTGACGCTACTAAGAAACCGGCAAGATACGTTAAATGCAACCAAGAACGTGTCAGAAGGCAATGGAACTATTGATTAGCCAGCATGAGCAACAGGCTACATGACCCCCATGCAAGATTCAGTGATTTGCTTTGCTTGTAGTCTGTTTGACTGGCTGTTTTTTCGTTGATGGCCAAAGGCAAGCCGCGTTGCCATTGGGTGCTGCAGTTGTTTGTTCAACCACGTCTTTCTTGTCAACTTGATCATTGGTTTCGGGAGCCATTTCACTCCCAAAGGATGGCCTTTGATTCATTCGTCCTCTTTTTGTGTTCTGCCCAGGCCAAAATGCAAAAGAAAAACGGCCCTTCACTCCCAAACTGTCCTAGTGTGCCGCGCGGCTTTCCTGGGTCGCATCCAGGGGTATTGGAGTTGTTTGCCCCGGTTTTGTCCCATTCACTTCCCCGGGGCAAAGGGAGGGGAAGTCAGGTAGGGTGCTTCCTTGTGTGCGTCCCGGGGTTGATTGCAAGCCCATAACTCAACCCCTCCAAATGCAGCCTTTGTTGATATGGTTGTTGTTGGGTGAAAGCAGTGGCAGAAATCCCCCGCATCCTCTTCACAGAAAGGGGGTTCTTTTACCGTACCGGGCATTTCGCTGACGCCGCAGGTCTCCAGTGTGTCCATTGCCAAAGAAGGCACCGCTCTGGGCTTGAGCCTGCACTACGCAGCTGACAACATGCTAGGCCAGCTCAGGGCACCGTCATCTTCTTGAGAGTCTGCGCCGGGGGCCGGGGGGAGAGGGGGGCTAAAACAGGCACCTAGGAAGGCGTGGTTCTTCCTTGGAAGACAGACCCATGTGGGCATGTCAAGCCATAGGCTATCGTTCGGCTTATTGCAAGCTGTCGCCAACATCAAAACAGTCGGGGAGCGCCATCTAGAAAGCTGAGCATGAACACTGCGAGGAACACCGTCCGCTTGTGAGTTCTGTTTTGAGAAGTCAAATTGATTCTTCAGCACTCAGCCCAGTTTGCTTGCCGGATTCATTGCGTTCTGTGTGCTCCAACTGGCCACGTTCTGTCTGAGTGTCCCCAGCAACTCGGTGATTCGGAGAAAATGGGCTGAAGCGAGCCTGTGTGAAACCAACTCACGGAATGGACACATGTGACCATGGAAAAGCACATGGAAAGCTGAAAATGGTAGTTTCGCATTGATGTGGCCCTTGTCCCTTTGCAACCTTGAACACAAACACAAATCCTGTCCAGAATCTTGCCATCCATGGTTGAATCCTCAGCTTTGCAAGCATGTCCTCTGCAGATCATAAGTTCTTTGGAATGAGGTATTCTAAGGAGGCCTGCATATTCCCCTGCAATGCGCAAAACTCACCAAGTCCGCATGGTTTACTACCGATTTCATGCTTGCTCTTAGCCCATGAATATGTGATGGCCATGGTGCTCTACACTAAACGAGGTGTGCAAAGCCTGACCTATGTACTATCCAGATTGCCACCAAACCAGGCGCCATTTATAGCAGCAACTCCCCTCGCCTCGCCGTCGTTTGTCGCAAGACACCAAAACCAGGGGACAGCCCTTGTAACTCCAGAACGCGGGCCGAGCCGAAATGCAGTTGCTTGAGTGCAGGTGGGCTCTGCGTCAAGAGCGTGGGCAGCGGCTTGGTGAAGGAGCTCAAATCGATGTTCAGCTTGGGGGCTATCCAAGGAATGTCACAGTTTGGAGCACGCGTGCCGACGTGCTTAGGGCCCCTGCAGTGGACAATATGCGCTTGGTCACGGAGTCTTGGAGTGCGAAATCTCTGGATTCAGTCCCATGGTTGTTGGCCGTGGCGGTGTGGTTGTTGGTGGTTATGTGCTGTTTGTGTTGTCGGCATTGTTAATTATGTTGATGTTTTGTGCACATGTCTTCCGCACAACCGCGCAACGCGTGCGTGCGAAATGCAGTCGGCCAGTTCTGCGTTCGCGGATTTGTTCAGATCGGGCATCCCAGCATCAGGCAACTTTATCCATTCTTGCTGCCTCTGAGTGCTGTGTTTGCCGTAAGGGCGAACAAGTAAACTCAGAAACGATGCAGATTTTCGGTATTGCCGTGCCTCGCGTGGCTTGTTCTGGGGCGCTGAAATCTCAAAGTGAAGCACAAGGGGATAGATACGATAGATACGCCTTCCCTTTACCCGGTGACTCCATTTGCCCACAAGGGCAACCAACCAGCAGGTACATCTTACAAGCCAATGCAAACGGGCTGGGCGGTTAATTCATCGTCTGGGCCTAGTCTGGCCCCTTTGCATCTGAACATTTAGGGGATCCGCAAGATTGGTTTCCCTTTCAGCCACGCAGGAGAGGGGCCTGGCGATCCGGGCCGGGCATCGCATTATGGATGTGGACGGTGAAAAGCAGCTGGACTGCAGCTGCGTTGGCGTACCAGAGATTTCAACGCGTATGTGTCAAAATAGGGGTTGGGGGACCCCAGAACAGGTGGTTGCCTGCAGGTTTCCCTTTAGGCCAGCTCCAAAAAGGAGAAAGAACGCAGCCTGCACAGGTCATACCAGCCCCACAGCTGGTCTCCTTCTAGGGCCACTGGGCTTGGGAGCAATGGTGTCCTTTCAACTTTTGGCTTGGTTCTGACTGATTGCCAGAGTCATCTACCTCTCCTTTTGGACCACCTAGGCTCACAGACTTAGCCCAGTGGGTCCAAGCTAGTTGCAAGTCAAGCAGTCAAGTGGGGAAGCCGCCCAACCTCACTCACCCAAACCAAGAGTCTTTCCCTTTCTTCCCGAGCCCGTGCTTGCCCAGCTTGGTTATGTTTTCTGAGGGTTTGCTTCCAGATCAGTCCAAGGCAAGAGGGGGGTCCTTTTAGCAGGCTGTCGGTTTCAGAAGGCGAGCTAAGAGAGCTACACTGCCATCCTAGGGGCCAGGAGACACAGCCTCGGTCCAAGGACCGTCAATAAGATGCTCGAGCGCATGAGGAGGAACGAGGCCTCTCGGGCACTAGGAGGGAGCCAGAAGCACTATCCCTCCAAAGAAACACACATTGCGCTCGATTGCACTGGGGAGCCAATGGAAAAGCGGAAGAGTGGCTTGAAGACCTTGCGGCTTCCCAAGTTTGGTCTGGGCATGGTGCACTTCGCCTCGTTTTTTGTGGGGGAATCCGGGAAGCGAGTTTGAGAGTCCGCAAGAAACCACTCACCGAATTGCAGAAACCGTCACTTCAGGTCATTGCGCCTCGCCCAGCTACGCCTTAGAATTGCCTTAGCTTTCCGAAGGGCGGAAGCATCGCATTGCAAGATGCGGGCTGAAACGAGAACAGTACCATCACCCAGCTCTTTGTTCCTTCCTTGCGATTTTTTCATGTTGACCCCGGAAGAATACACCCGTCCGATTCATGGGGTGTTCTTCCAAAAGTGATGAGCCCCAGTAAAAGGGGACTCCTATCAATCAACCAGAGGTTTATGAATTCGGGGTTCCCATTAGATGGTAGGATTCTAAGAAAAAGGGGGGGCAAAGCGCATGGGCAGATAGCTGGCCAGGCTTTCAGCCTCACAGTCATCTCGTGGCCGGAGGAGCACTGAGAGGGACTTGGTAGACCTAGGGGGGCGTCTCCTTAAAGTTAAGTGCCAAAGATGCGGCTTAGAGTCTTAGAAGGGTTTGGCCAGAAAAAAGTTTGGTGCCTTTCTTTTTATCAAGAGGAGGATTGGGACGTTTTGGGCAAAATGCACGCCCCAAGTGCCGATTTTTCCTGGCATGCCAACCTATTCCCACAAAGGTTGCAAAAGGGACACGGCAGAGATCCCAAGTCAGTCGCAGAGATCACGCCAACTTGACGTCCAGTCCAAGCAACTGGCACAGTTGTCTGTGTGTGCCGTGAATGAGTACATTGTGCTTGGTACAGGTGGGGACATGCGTTTTGTTTGCCATGTTTGGTTCAGAATCCGCGGGGTGATGGTTTGCTGTTTGGCGCTTTGGCCACCGCCCCAAGGATCAAAAGTCCGACCCGAAGGTTCCGAGCGCTTGCGCAGGGATCAACCCATTTGTTAGAACCGAATTAGGGGCTTGAGTTGGCATCCCCATTCAAAGTCGACGCTTTGCGTGGCACACAAGTTGGGTCCAAACAGCGGATAGACATGCTTTTGACAACCGAGCGCAGCTTGAAAGGCTGCAACATGAAGCACCTCTCGGATTTGGGAGCAAGATGGGACATGTTTTGACTTTTGCCTACGATGCCATCTTGTCCGCTGCTCCTTTTCAGGATGGCGCAAAGTGAGAAGTTGCAATTTCCGCTTTGCGCAACGATATTGCAAGGGACCTTGCAGTGCAGTTTAGGGGCTGCTGTCTGAAATGAGCTCGCAGAACAAAAACACACACTCAAACGGATTATCAGTTTGTTTGTGGATCCATGCTTTGAAGAGATATTTTTATTTTTCCTGCTGGTTTGACGGCCCTTCAAGCTTCCAAGCTAGCAGGGGGGGTCCCTTTCAGCGGACAGCACCCAAGCAACCTGATGATGCAAGAGACGCCTTGCCAGTTCAGCATCGCATCGCTGAGCCTCGCTTAGGCAGGGTGCAAGAAAAGGCTTGTTGTCCATCCTCCAAAAAGAAACCAAGCAAGGCGCACTTTTTCTCGATTTGTCGATACACTTGCACCAGCATGTTCCTTTCAGCAGATCTCAGTGTTGTCTGAGACTTGAGAGAAGCTAAGGAGCCACAGTTCTCGGGTTTGCAGTCAGCAGCCCTTTAGTGAGGGTTACGCGTCCTCGCGGTGCTGCGATGAACCCGCGTTGAAAAGGTTGAAAAGGAGAAGGAGGGGGAGGGCACCCTGGTGGCCGAGATGGGGGGTAAGAAGAAGCCACGTGATGAGTTTTTGGAGTGAGGCGAGGGGAGACCGTGGCTGAGGAGAATGCAGACATGGCCAACACTGCATGAAGCGCCATGGCCAGGTGATGCTCATGAGCAGGTGTGCCTGGACAAGGTGAAGAACCAGAGTGCTCATGAGCAGGAGATGGTGGACGGGGATTCTGTGCTGATGATGACCGTCCATGAAGCTGAAGCGGGAACAGCCGCGAGACCTGGAGAGGTTGGTTCGCTGCTCGGAGGTATGGGATGTCACTTGTCCGTCCTATGGGGCACAAAGCTGGAGAGCTGTGTATCAGCTGCAGAACCCTCGAAGCGGAGAAGCTTGGGCGGAGGACTTGTCGGACCAGATCGCTCAGACGAAGAGGTGGTGGCGTCGTCCTGGCATCAGGCGCGGTAGTCTGAAGAAGTTCGGGCATCACAGGCGCGCTTGGCCATGTCCAGGCGGACGTGACACACGCAAGATGCAAGGCCAGAGCGCGGTGGATCGCGGACTGAAGTATGGCACATCGTAGGGCGAGCTTTGAGGGAAGCTCTTGGTTTGAAGAGGCAGCCTGACATGGTCGACGCTTCGGAAGGACAGGAACAGAGCGTGCATGGCATCGCGGGCTTCGTAGCCCTTCGCGGCGGCGCAGAGCACTGTGAAGGGGATATTGCGAGGTCGGCGACCTTGACGCCGGGTCACGCTTTGCTTGCCTTGGCAGCGGATGTGCCGGATCAGCTTGGCCTCGAATGGGTCGGGAATCGGACTCGCCGTCTCTGGGTCGAACCTTGGCGCTGCGACGAGCTTCGAATGTGAATGGGTTCTGGAGCAGAAGCGAAAGCCTGCCGCTTGGTCAGGCCATGGGTGCAAGGAAGGCCGCAGGGCCTCTGGGGCGACAAGGATGAGGCGGCGACAGTAGGTCAAGAAACTTGAGGCTTGAGGAAGATGGGCAGTGTGGGCGGTGAACAGGTGCAGGGAAATGAGCTGGACTCCAACACGATGGTCAGCAGGGACTGCAGCTGATTTGCAGTGTAGACACTGCTGCGCGGCCCTCTGAAGCCAGGACCTTGCTGGAGCGGAGACTGTCACGGTGGGCTCGCAAACGATCGAAAAGTCTGTCTCTGAAAGTGGCCGTGCCATTGGGAAAGGCGCCCTGGGCTCTCCGATCGAAAAGTCTGTCTCCGAAAGTGGCCGCGCCATTGGAAAGGCGCCCTCAGCTCTCCTCACTAGAACGCAACAGCTCTTCTCACACACGTGAGAAAAGTCTGTCTCCAAGAGTGGCCGCGCCGTTTGGAAAGCGGGGGGTGTATCATTGGTGCTAAAGGATGTTTGTCAGAACCAATTTCTGGCCAAATTAGTTGTGAGCATTGGGCTTCAGGCAGGGTTCTCTCGCGGACGAAAAAAGCAGCGGCTGTTTCAAGCGCTTTGCTGCTCTGGGACGGTTTTTTTCGGTCCCCGTCGAACAAGAAGGCCGGTGGATCTGGCTGTCTCCAGGCCTATGAGTGTCACCACGAGCCACGCGCAACAAAGCATGTCAAAGGTTTTCAGCTTGTCAGATTCCCGCTGCCAATGTTTGTCCACGGTTGTTGCCAGGGCTTAGCTACAGCCAGAGTTGGCGTGTTTCATTTGGTCCGATATTGTCAAAAGGGCACTGTATCAAACCCACCTTGAACAGACCCTAGACCCACCCTAGGTAGACCTGGATGAAACATCACAGAATTATGGGGAAGCACATTCCCATAAAAAAGGCAACCCTCTCAGCGGCGCATAAATTTAGTATTGCGTATGAGCACCCTTGCTTCTTTCAGTCCAAGACAAACCTTGGCACCAGGAACTGGGTAACTGGCCAGCCGCATGTCACCTGGAGACGCGTTACCGGCTGAAAGAGACAACCAAATCGTTATCAGGCCCTCGTCTGAAGAAGGCGAACCACTGGTGCGATCTCGTTGTGGCAACTTCATATGTAAAACCCCTGCCCCTTAAAATTTCTTACCGGCCACCCGAGTAATTAACAAACGATGCCTTAGGGAAAACCCGAGTAAGGATTGCATTGGTTTGGACTTGGGTTCAGATGGTTCAGTATGGGCTTGGTATTGGAGTAACGCTCTTTAAGAGGGCCCCTCTCAACCACTACTTGGGGTTGGAAAACCGGTTTTATTATTTGGGGATGAGGTTACAACATGATTGTTTCATGTTTGAATGTGGGCGCGCGTGTTACGCTCGTGTTTTGCTTATTGCCTGCGCTCGCTTTGCATGCAAACCTTGAAGCTAAAAGCGGGCTGAATCTCCGATTCCAATATACGCCAAGCTCTAAATGGAAACAATGCCTTGCCCGTCTTCCTCAAACTCCTCTCAAATGTGACACACGCTTCGAGGCTGAAATATTAGTTTACGTGCAAGCTGCAGTGGTGGTGGGTTTCCTTTGCGCTTGGCCAACAGCAACGTACTTGGCCAGTGTTCGAGTCAGCGTGGCCCGCCGGCCGGTTTCACAGGCCACGTGGTCAAAAGGCGCCCGACAAGCTTTCGGCTTCGGGACCGTGAGGGGTCGGATTCAAACCCATTCCCTGATCAAAACTCCTTAATATATATGACATATGGCCATTCAAGCCTTGCCTTTTTTATCAGACCAAGAAAACACCGCAGTTTTGTTTCAAAATATAGCAGCAGCCATGATCGGATATCCCATCCCCCGCCAACTCGCGGCGTGAATGCGCAAACTCCGCCCCCGAGTGGCCTAAGCCAGCCTCAAAGAGGCAGCGGAAACTCGGGCAACTTCGAACGGCAACAAGGCAGACCCGAGCAGAGTCGCAGTTCAGTATTCGGCTCGCATTGTTCTTGATCTTCACTGTCTGATTTGGTGCCGGTGCCTCCAACATTGGTACCGGATCGAGCGGATCGAGGTGGTTTGTATGCAAGATGTGGGTGCGGGCAGGCGCTAGCCTTCGCAGCATCCCATCCTAGTGTTTGTTTTGTTCAGAAGGCAACCCTAGGCCCTAGGAAAAGACGGCACCGACATGTTCCCCAAAGAATGTAACCATGGTATTGGCATTTCCCGTCGCATTCCAAATCAAAGGAACGTGCAGGTTCTGGAGCCTCCTTTTAGACCTATGTAAGGGGGTATCATGGGGATCTTGGTGCTTACGCTCTTCTCTGGCCAATGGAAGAATCTCTCGGGATGGGACCAGGGTTTTCACCCACCTTTCCACCCTGAGCGCTGAAGTCTGATAATTTGTTCCATGCCACCATCTATGGACTCGAGTCGACGTGTTTGTTTTCTGAGCCGGTGGGAGGATACTTTCGGTCACGTTGAAAAGGTCTGCTACCGATCTCAACATAGCGCTCAAGCGTCTGAGCATGCAACGACGCGCACCGCAACTTGAGGCGTTTTGGTGGTATTCTTGACATTGAGGCCATGGGCACGGGCTTTGAATCGAGGGTCCCCAATTTTGAAGCGGGAGTATGCAATCGATAAGATGGACAATAGTGATATGAATGTCATATTGGGACACGTGACACACTAGCCAAGTTGCAGCTTGTTTCCAGATACTTTGCCCACCCTAACCACCAAACCAGCAAACCAAACCACCCATTGGCGAGAAACTGATGCTCGGCAACTATTTTCAAGTATCTTGGGCCCCGATTTTTTCCCATGGCGACCAACCTGAATTGGGCCGAAAACCTTGAAGCCGGCCTGCCATGGTTGCCCATACCCGGAATACACCGATGAAAGACCCAAGAGTTGTCCCAAGTCGCCAAATCAACCCAGGCCCGTGCATGTTCCAGTCGATGACCGCAGTGACCAGTGTTTTGCCTCCGACAGTAAACTCGTGCATGTCACGACCTGTAAAACGCTGATTCGTGTTTCTTTCATGGCATCCAAATTTGAGACCAGAGGGAACCCATGGCTTTGAGCTACTCCAAGAGCGCTGTCTATGTTTTGAGGGTTGCAACTTTTGGGACGCTTAGGTCGAGGCCCAGTCATTCTGAACCCTTGCCTTGCCACACAGAAACATGGACGCCTCCAAGTCTGTTGCACGAGTCTTCCCAAACTCCTTGTGCCGTAGTGCAGCTTGTACCCTAAACGCTGTGATGCTTGGGCTAGGCTTCCATTTTCTGTAGAACCCCCCCCCCCCACTTGAACATGATCAAGCAAATTTGCTGGCACTGTAGCAGTCTCAATCTCAGTGTCATTTTTCACGCCGGAGCCTCCCAGAAAGCTCCGCCGCAGCCGTTCGGCCACACGGAGCAACGGTTTTTTGTTGTTTACTCGTCCACGATTCTGTTCGTGGCTCAAGACATGGCTGGGGACTCGGGACTCGGGGCTCGGCGTCCGTCAAGTCGGGGCGGGGTGAACCGTGATGGGAACCGAAGAAGATGCTTTTTGGATGGTCCAAGTTGTTTACTTACTTCAGGCGTTTGGACACTTGGCTTTGGGGCGGAGGGGCTTCATTTCAATATCCCCCCTTTAACCCCACAAAATCTGAATCTAACCCAGTTGAAGCGGGGGCTAGTGATACTAGTGATCTCAAGCTTTTTGGGCATCCTCCGGTCCACTAGCTTGGAATTCACCAGTGTATTTTGAAAGAAACTGGAGGACCCTGAGGTTCCATGTTTGTGGATAGGGTAATGCAAACTGGCTCGATTTTGCATTTTGATACATCCCCTGGCTGGTCATTATATAATTACCTCATAGGTGTCCATCATGCTCCTCTTCACACTTTTGACCTGCAGAGATCATTCAGTTCGACACAGCTAAGCGTCCCCTTTTCTTGGACTGCGTTTGTTCGCATCCCATTTTGCGGTGTGGATGAGTCTTGTTTCGCCAGTTGCATCCATGTCTTCGAGCGACTTGAACAAGCTTGGTCGGGGGTCCGTTTGAGCGTGGCTGTTGGGTGCGACCCCATCTCAAACCGGCACGCATTGCCCATTCCAGAAAGATCTTGGAGGTGGCTTGCCTGGTTTAGCACTGGGAGCGTTTCGAACCAGAGAGCGAGACGACGCGGATCGAGAAGGGCAGTTGGGGGCCCTTGGGGCCATCAGAATTCCCATGGCCGCCGCAAAAGGCTTGCAAGCCGCTTCGTTTCTGAAAGCAGGATATGTTCAGTGCGCATTTGGTGTGTGTGCTCTTTTTTGAGGGTATCCTTTTCGAGGTGGTTTTTCAGGGAAGACTGGTTGGTTTCCTTCCGGTCCTTTGAAACTGACGGCGCACCCTCAAAACACGAGTTCCATTCTCAAGTTTGGTTTGGGCTGTAAGATGATGGTGCTTGGGGTCCTACCTGGCTTGATGGGATTGTGATCACGTGCTGCCTTTCAAGGCGGCGTGAGCGCTTTTCCACTGACCAGACTTCCGTCTCAAGTTCGACCACCCTTCAAAACAAGCAACTGGGGGGTACCCTGAAATAAAAAGACACCCGGACACACAAAACTTCAAAACAAACACAACACTTGGGTATGTTTCCCTTGGCAAAGGCCTGGTAGCCTTTGCAAGTACAAGGCCTTTGCAAGGGCGCCAGCCCAAAGACTTCAGGCTGGGCTCACGGAGATTACATTTCAGCAAGTGGGCGGCCGTTGCAAAATCGCCGTGGCCTCAGAGGTTGAGGGAAATATGGGACCTGTCTGTTTTCTTTTCTTTTTTTTTTCAACGCATTACCTGTTTGGTACATCTGAGGTGCGCGTCCCCAGGGGCAGGTCTTCCAAGGCTCTTGGCCCCTCTAGAGGGCTTCCCTTCAGCAAAACTTGTGTTCTTTTCTTCCTGCCACACGCGCGGGCAGTCTGCAAAAACATCGTGTTTGCTTTCCGTTTCTTCTCTGGAAATGGAGTGCAAGGAACGGCCGAACCGTCCCAGTTTATCAAAAACGGATGGCAAAGGGATCCTTTCTGATTCATTCGGATCGCAATAATCGGAGTGTCTTGAATTAGATAAACCTCTCAAATGGAACCGCCTTTGATGAAACCAACCGGCTGGAGTTTTCGTAAATCTAGAGATCCCTGAATGTGGGATGAATGAACAGGGCGTCCCTTACCCGCAACTTCTCTTACCATGGGCCGAAGCCAACCCAAAACAAAGGTAAGCCTTTGTTTATGGATGCATGTGGATTCTCTATGAAGTGGGCCAATTGCAAGTTTCTTACGGTCCCATTCTAGGCGAACCATCGGGATTACTACATCCCAAAAAGGCCCTCTTTTGGCGGCCCCCTCTGAACTAATAATTTTACGTGGGCCTTGTTATGGGCCGTTGTTTTTGTGGGTTGCCGGCGTGAGAGAGGATAAATCCAAAAGCACAAATCAGCAAGTTTCTTTTCAGCAAAAGGGCGATCTTGATTTGCCAACATAAGGGCCCATTCAGGAAACTGTATGTGCCAGTAAGTTTCCTGAATGGGCCCCCTAGTTGTGGAACCCTGCATTTGGGGCTTGGCACGAGTCCCAATGGAGTTGGGACCTTTCGGGCTTGCTGCTGTCAAACACAAGAGAGTGATCCTCACCAACCAACCAGGGCAACACAGTTGTATACCCATCATGTAAGTGGTATATGAGAGGTATGTATTCTTGAACTGCTAATGGCCCACAACAATGGCCCATGTAAAATTCTTCAGTACTCAGTGAAACAGTTGGTCCGGGTTGTGTTCGAGGTGTTCTTTTGTTTCTTATTGGTCTTTGTTAGAATCCTTGTTTCCCCGCAACTCACTCCCCTTCAAAAGCAATGAAGGGGTGACTGGGGGTTTACCTGGCTACCCTCAGAAAGGGAGCCTCGCAACTTCTGTATGGTCCTAAGGAGTTTTTTCGTGTGCGGCGTTGGCTTCCCCTTTGGGTCAGGACAGTGTGTTATTCCCTCACTTGCCCAGAGCCGACCTTCCAACCTGTTGGGTTTCCATGACTTGGTTCATATTTACTCAAGATTCCAGAAGGTCAAGCTAACCTTTCATTTCCAGAGCCTTGCACCAAGCCATCTTTGTTTGAAGCCATTTAGATCTACGAGCCAAGAGTTGCAGGCGTCAAAATCAACAGGTCGGAAAAACGGGTCAGTGTGTAACAGTGGCTAGATGGATCAACGTGTCTTTGGGGCCACCTTTGGGCTAGTCTTTGGTGCAAAAAGCCAGAGGGCCAACTGTCCCCTCCAAGTTGGTGACTCATGTTCTGTCCCTGTGAGGCACGGTCCAAAAAGGGCCACGCAGCGTAGAAACGGCAGGGCGAACAAATCAAGTAGGGCAAAGGTATGACAAGATGCTGGTGGAGGGTAGGGTGGATTTTAGGCTGGGTTTCGGCTGATCTGGGGTTGGCTTGGTTCTGGGTGTACGGTGTTGTTTAGGATCTGTGTAGGGTTTGTGTAGCGTGGATGGACTGGATGCAGGGTGGATGTAGGCTGGGCAATGGGGTTGAGTTAGGGTAGATTTGCAAACTCAGCAAAGTGGGGTTTGTTTCGGGTGAGTCTAGCGTGGGTTTAGGATTGGTTTAGCGTGGCAGGCTGCAAAGCCAGTCAGAAACAACAACATGGCTAAACCCTTGAGATAGATTAGCATGTTGGGTTTGCATCTCGTTTCCGACTGCCCATGTAGGCTGTCACATGGTTGTCACTGGGAAAGGAAGAAGGGGCACCAGGCAGCTGGAAACTTGAAAACGATGGATCAGCTCTTTGCTCGCGAGGCGAATGACGACGACGTCATAAGCTGCTTGAAAGGCGCCGTGAGATTCTTCCCCCCCCCCCCCAGGGTGGCTTCCTCGCAGGCATTGTCTAGCAAGGCGTTGTAGGGCATAGGCGGAAAACAGCAGCCTGGGACGTGCTTGGCTGATTTAATTATCGGATGAATTCCCCCCCTCCCCTCCCCTCCCCTCCCCTCCCCTCCCCTCCCCTCCCTCCCCTCCCCTCCCCCCCCTCCCCTCCCCCTCCCCTCCCCTCCCCTAGAAGGTCCAGAAGGTTAGTATTGGGCAATGCTACTCTTGAATTGGGCAATGCTACTTCAGTTGTGAAATTCTCGAATGCGAATGTAAGAACTCCAGATGGATTCCAAAAGAAGCTTGAGTCCTTGTTTCCATTTGATTTAACTTTGCTAGAGAGTCCTTTTGAATTTGATTTGAGCTTGAACCCATTTGATTTAGTATTGTGGGAGTTGAGTTTGCATGTGATTTAGTGTTGCTGGAGCTTCCTTTTGGTTTGATCTAGCTTCTTTTTGAATCTGATTTGAGCATCCTTTTATTTTGACTTGTTATTTGGGGTGGGGCCCCCTGGGTGTTGGGGTCGGTTGTGGCGGCCGCTCTAATAAGATGTAGTTTTCTGTGGGAAAAAGCTTATTCAGATGAATTCCAGCTTTTCGATTTGTTTAGTATTGTGGGGTCCTGGGGGGATCGCTTCAAAAACCTGGGAAAACTAATCCTATCTCAACATTAACCACAAGATGAAGGCTGTGTGTCGAATCTGGCTTCGGCACCTCTCCGTGGCATCGGTCTTGCAATCACAGTTTCACATGGAAGGAAGATCCGGGACTTTCATCGCAGCGCCTGGAAGCACAATGGCATGGAATTGTTTCTCAAAGCCCGCAGGTCCCATGCCACGTTTGGATTTGGGCCACCTACCACACAACAGGTGGACTTACCGAGTGCAAAGACCAAGGGCAGCTAATCATTGAGCAAGCAAGAGCCGCATGAGAACAAAAACCAGATACGGAACCTAGATAGCGACCTGTAGCTATTAATCATGATTCCGAAGCACTGTTGTTTTTGTTCGAAAGCCTGCTGTTCCAAAAGCCCCTCAATCTGGTGGACTGCGGGTGGAAACATGGGGAATTCACAGGAGGGTCCTGGTCCATCCAATTTTCCTCTAGGAACCGTATGGTGGGTGCATGTGGGTGCTAAATCAGCTATACAAGGTGATTCCTTTGAGGCCTGAACCCACCAGGGTCAGTGGGGGTCAGTGGTAGGTGACATTGTGATCACGGACCGCTTTCGCGAGCTCAAGCTCCACCAAAAGGAGAAGGAGGAGAAAAGGCAGGGGGGTCAGCCCGTGTTGGCCAGTTATGAGTCTGAGGCAGAGAAGGGAGATAGATATATTTTTTTCGCACCTGCCACAATGACTCAATGGCCTAGTGCTGCCGAATCGGTGGATTCAGCCGAACTCGGGGGCCCAGTGCTCAACGGGCTTTGGCCACCATTGTTCGCCTTTTGACCTCGCCTCTTCAAGGGTTTTCATGGGAAGAAAGTGGGAGAAATATTGAGGGACCCCGATGCGAAGGTTTCTACCGTGCTTTATAGCCAGTATGTGTAACAATGCCAAAAAACCCTGAGCTTCTCCGAAGAATGAGCGCCAACAAACCACTAGCCAAGTCTCCGTGTGTGTTTTGACCATTATTTACAGTTTTTCAGCACATGAGACACTAAGAGGCCTCATACCACCTCACTGACTGCGCGCGGACTTACGACTCCGCAAAACACCTACAGATCTGCCCTGTTTCTGCAGCAACACCAGGCATCGACAGTCTTCTATACAATCCAGAGAAGCTGATAGAACGCCTGACTGAGCGGAACCACTGCATTTCTGGCAGTGCATTTTGAATGCAGCCAGTGCATGTCGCTCATTGCAACTGCTCCCGGCCGCTTTCGTTCATGCAGATTGACGCGGACTTCCGTGCCGTAAGTCTGCGCCAACGAACGTTATAATGTACCCCCCCCCCTCCCCACCCCACCCCCCACCCCGTCCCACACCCGCAGCTCGAGCTGTGATTGTTGGAGCCGACAGGGGCAAGTTATGATGAAGTCTCTCGGAGAACCCCGGGGTTTGATCCCCAAAAGAAGAAGGATACTTTTTCTGATGTTCCCAGCCCATCATAGCCCATCCATTTGGCAGCCCGGCACCGACTCAGCCGCGCTCGCGGCGGCGCGCGCGTTCTCGGAATTGAGGCGCAAGGTGCGCCTGCAACGTGACAGGCGCGGCTCGGGAGTTGGAGTAAATTGCCAGGATGGCTTTTTTCGTTTGGCACCGGGTTGGACTACTGCGAATTGGATGTTGAGGAGGGGCCTTTGGCTTCCTCTGTAGCTTTCGGCTTCGATTTGCTCACCATGGGGAATTTGTAGCCGGATCAATCACGTTTGGTTGGCATTTCATTTTAGTCGACCCGGAAAGTTCCAGTTCCTATCATGGAGACAAGGCTCTTACCGGTTGCTGTGCAGAGACGGATCCATGTTGACGTCGTGGTTCCCGACTCCAGGCGTCGCTTGTAAATCGTGCCCAAAGGTGCAATGGCAATCATACAACATGTTACGTCCTTGCGGGGACAGCGACGCGCCACCCCGCAAAACACTCTTTCCCGCTTGAAAGACTATAGATCAACATTGGGATCAGTGTGTTTGGGGTGGTTGGGCAGGAGCAGTTCTACCAAGACCCTCGAACCCCGGGCTTTCTATGAGTGATTTGCGCTTCGCAGGGAGCGCATGGTGGAGTTCTTGCAGAAGCACAAGTTCTGCCTGGACGTGAATGCACGGAAGCGGTCCGCACTCGGCTTCCTTTGATTCTCGGCAAAACTCGGACGCCAGCCAGTAAAAAACCGAACTTCATCGAAAAGAAGGACATCTTTAAGGAGGGTTTTCACACTTAGCAGCTTAATTAAGGAGCCCCAAAAGGTCAAAAGGCTCACATTGACCTGTTTGCCCCCGTTGTTTGCAACTTTTGGCATACGCTCAGTCATTTCATTTGCTGGGCGAATCATGCCAGAGCCACTGCAACAAAGTTGTTTCTTCTTTTTTTTGGTGGGTGGGTGGGTCGGATTCCCTTTGAAGTCCTTGATGTTATGCTGTGCCTTGAGGGTGTCATGTCGTTTAGCTCCAAATCAATCCTTCCCAAGGCAGGGATCTGCGGATTATTGGGACCCCTCCACCGCATTCCAAGAGGAGCTTTCCAGCGGCCATAGCTTTTTGTCCCGCAGGTTCGCTGTTCTTGGGCTCGGGGGTCCATATACAAGTTGAAATGAAGCGCATTGGAGTAACAAGCCAGCACAGAAGGGAATTTCAGGATGCATGTTGGCGTTGATGTGTGTTTTGCCTTCAGCTTATCTCAGATAACCTGAAGGCAGACGGTGATCCCGTTTTTGTTTTTAATCTCAACTGCCCAGACTCTTGTTCAGGGCAAACCAGCCGCCCCTCGCCTTGAAGTGCCATCCGCTTCTTCTAGGTTCCGGGTGGCTTCCCTTCCCCAGTTTCTGGACGTAGCTTGCTTCATTCGCTGGAGGCGATGACCTATTTTTGCTTGTCTTTTTTGAAGGGACGTGTCATGAGTGCGTATCTATTACCTCATCGGTGGCAGCTTTGGTGAGGCTATCCCTTTTTGGCTTGTTTCAACTGACACCTCAATGGTTAGGGGTCCTCCAAATGGTGACAATAAACGGAGACAACTTGTTCTGGTTTGTTTTGGATCGGGAGGTGTGGGAAGGGGCTCCGGTGAGGCTCGTACCCACTCCTGGAGGCAGCCCGGGAGAAGAATTGGAAGCTGCTCGCTGTGCACAAAACGCGGCTTCCCGCTGATTGGGATGCCCCTTAAAAGGGGGGTATCGTTGGGATTCTTTCCAGGCCCTCTCTTCAACACCAGGCTTACCAAGGCCATTTTCTGGGTGCAAATCAGTCATCGATCCCTTGCCAGATGGTGGCTTTCATGGTTGTAATGGCCCACTACGGATATAGATTCGGATTTGGGCCCCAAAAACAACCACAAGGGTTTCCCCCCAGTAAGTAAGACACACTCATGTGATTTCCTGAATATTAATTACCGGCCAAACAGGAAGTGTGATTCTTACAAGGGGTTTTGGCTTGCAACCAATTTCGCCCGTCCGTGAAGGCGTGATGGCCATGCTTTCGTTTTGCTAAAGTCGGCCCTGTCCAATTGTAAAACCAAGGAGGGAATTGCCAATTTGGTAACCTTGCGCAGTAGTAGACGGGATATCTGGGAAGGGCATACCCCCCCCCCTTCTGTGAAGAGGATCGAGCCATGTTTGCAGGGAGTTAAGCGAGCCAAGATCAATGAATCCCTCGGGGATTGCTATGCTTTGGGAGGACCATAGCACGGCAGGCATTTGTGTCACGAAAGGTCCGCGAAGGACGCTGCCAGGTGACTGTTCTGTTCGCGAAAGGTCTAGTTAAGGCTTCTTGGAGGCATGCTTGTGCGCTTGCATATTTGCAGGCCCCACTCCCTTGTAGCCAGGGAGACTCGCAGCATGTTTGCTTGAATCCTTGATTCCCAGCCTGTGATGGAAATTGTGCAAAACAAAAACGTTGGCTGGGCCATGTTTGAGCAGGAAGGCCCATGGAGCTTGTTGCAAGGTCCCGCGCGCGGTAGGTTTCCTGCCTTGGCAAGACACCCCTAACCCTGCATGTGTCTGCCGCCCCTTGGTGTTGTAAACTGCTTGGTTGAGTTGGCTTGAAGGTGCTTGCTTGCAGTGGGGAGTGTGCTAGTGGGGGTGAGCCCTTGCTGCAGTTGTTTTGTGATCCCACCCACCCACCCTGCAGGCCCATGTGCCTGAGATGGTTTCTCTCCCTGGGGCTGTGATGCACGTGGCCCCCAGCTCATGGGTGAGTGAATGGCATGGCTGCTGTGTTTACGAGCGTGCCTGTAGCAGCAGCAATGGCTCCAAAGCGCACGCTGCAAACAAAAGGGCGCGGCGATGGAGCCGCGACAGCTTCGCAAAAAAATGTTTCGCGCACATGCCTTGCACCGGAAGCGGGGGTATTGAATTGGTGCCTTCTTTGGCGGATTTACAGGGAAGCAGAACGGGCGCCCGCTTATTTTTGTGGCCCTATCTTGAGGAACACCCGCCAGTCAATAAGCAAAAGACCCCGGACGAGAAATGGGTATCCCAACAACAACCACTCGATGGCGTTTGATCAATAATGGTTTCTTGCCTGGCTCGTCCTGGTCGTTGGGATTCTTGGGCTCCCTTTTGCGTTGCCATGGGGCTTTGGACTTCCCATGGGGCCCTTGAAAATTCAACCCAGGATTCCACCGACGTGAGACTCGCACAAAGAGCAGCAGGAAGCCAAGAAGCAATGCCTGATGTGATGGCTTTGGAAGCACTCTTTACGAGTCATCTGGACGTGGGCAAATCTCCAATATTAGTTCCTTGCGGGCTTGGAGCCAACACTTGCGGTGCTCAGGGCCAACAAGTACCAAGCTTCTCAGATTTATGGGTGCCAGAACGGTACTTTCAGAATTGGCCTTCTGGCGGTCTGAGCCAGCTGAAGCACCATTTCCCTGTGGCATCCCCTCAAAGGGCTCCAATTCAACAAAAGACAGCCCCATGCGCACGTTAAGCTCTAAGCCCCCACCCCCCAAGGGCCAAACTGAGAGGCCACGAGGGAACAACATGTGAGACTCTGTGCTTTAGGAAGCGCCCAAAGCTTGACCCGATGGCCAGTGCCAATTTACAAAGCACGCAGCGTTTGTCCACCTACCAATGTCAGTGATAAGCAAAGGGTCTTCCAGAGAGGGCCGGCAAACAGGCCAGCTTTGTCCATAGTTTACTGCGGTCCCCGTGTTGTTCGGTTGAACAAGCATGAGGGTTCCGCGAAGAGTCAGAGGGACAACACGCAAGGCCCTGGTCGTGTTGGCCAACCGCATATGCCGTGCCAAGGATGGTTTGCATCCTCCTGAACTTCGGAGCAGACCCAAAATGCTGTGACACCTTAGGCTGCCCGCTTGCAGCTTCCGGTTCGCAAATCGAGGTCCACAAATGGGAATGTGTTCAGACCAGGGTCAAGCAATTTAGTTTAAACACCAGCGCGTGGTCCACTTTGAAAGGAACCCAAAGGAGGTTGCCTGAACAATTGTGGTTCCACGTTTAAACAAGAGATTGGCCTAACCTTAGTCAAAACCAGCTGCCCCCTTTTTGGTGTCAATGCATCCGCAAAAAAAACCAGGCAATTGGTGGCAAGTCCAAGCTGCTGCATTTTACTTTGGGAGAAATCAGCACTGGCAAATGCTGTCGGAGATGCGTAGTATCTGAGTTTTTTGGAGACGCGCAGCTCCCGTGAATTGAACCGGCAAACCATGGCAATGTGCTGCGCCGTCTGACGCCAGAGTCACCTTTCTGACATTGTCTGACTTAGCGCTGCCGGCGGCGGACCACAATGTTGGTAGAAGGGCACTGTGCCGACTGCACCTTGCATTGTAGGGCCAGGGTCAACCCTTGGTGTGTCTTGGGAGCGGGTGAGAGGCAAATGTTCTTGATGATCGTCAGTCAGAGATCCGAGGGCAATGCGTGGAATTTCTGCATGACGCACATGGCACGAGCTGCTCACACCAGCAAGGCTGGCTAACATTTGCCCCTGCTGGTTTGAACTGCTTGTGACCATGCTAAGATTAGCCTAAGGGACAGTCCCAGGCATGAACAAGTAGTGGCTGTTCTTTCAATTATTTGAATTGGTTTGGGTAGACTACTGTATCATCATCATTTTTAAGCTTCGATGCCATGTTTGGTGTTTTGGCCATACCCACCTGGCTTTCACAAACGAAAGCGGACACCACAATATGGGCCCACACTAAGCCAGCTGGCACAAGTCGCCGCAAACACACGGAAGGCCAATTCCCGGTTCTTAGGTGTGCTTTCAAGGCCACCCTGTTGAGGTTGGTAAAGGGGACCAACAGCAAAAGCCTCGATTTGTGCAGGTCCAAATCCCTATTTTGACACATACCCAACTTGCAACACCTGCTTGCAATATTTCAATGTTCTATCCGTAGCTCTGGTGGGTTAGAGGATGGTGGGAAGTCCTGGTCCGCGAATGCTGCAAGCTCTGACGCTTGTTCCACTGGGTCTTGGCTTCGGTTTGTGGATGTCAGGACTGTGGGCCCATGTACATGCCTTGATACATTCAAGTCAAGGGGTTCGCCGTGCTTCTGTTCACAAGCGTCCACTTCATTGAGGCGAACTCCTTGAGTTCCCTAAGTTCAGGTCAATTACTGGCATCACCCATGTTTTTATAGGCAATCAGCCAGTCCGGCGACTTGCACAGGTCATACAGTCTGTGACTACATGGAGAAGGAGTTTGTGCGCCACGGAAAGGCACTCCGCTTCCGATGTCTCAAGTTGAGCGCACAAAAAAGTCAATGGGCCCTGGGCCATTCAAATGAACATTGGCTTCATGGCCAGCTGGGGGCGAGAAGAAACAAGTTCGGGGGAACTAAGTGTTTTTTTCGGGCTGTTGGTCATGGATCATTGAAGAGGTGCGGCGACGAGTGCAAGGCAAGCTTCAATTTGCTTAAGACGTTAAGGGAATCCTGTGGCTATTGGAAGTATGTTTTTCCAGGGGTCGTAAGCAAATGGAGGTAAGGGGTTCCTTTCTTCCTTGGGAATTGGCTGCACAACCCACAGCTGGATAGGTTTGGGTAGGGTCATTTGGAGCCCTTCAAGTCCCCTTCTTGGGACCTTTCACGGAACGGGATCGATTCCACCTGCCTTTTTCTCGACGCTGCGAAGACTATCAACAAGACATGAAGGCAGGTAGATGTCAGGCAAAGCATGGTTAGTGCATGAAATCAGACTTGCATTTCCCACATTTGTGATCAGCTCGACTTCCTGGTTGGGTGTGCGTTCTGTGTCTGCCTGCGCGTGAAATGTGCCGTGCAGAAGGCTATAGGATGCTGTAGGTTTTTCTTTCCTTTTCCTGGTGCAGGGGTGGATGAAAGAGCTTTATCTTAGCAGTCTGAGCCATTGCATCCAACCAAGCATTCTTCGCGTGCAGCGGGCATTATTTCCCATGTTTGAAGGAGATGGAAATGGGTCGTCTCAACAACGAATGCCAAGCATTGAAGGAGCAAGATGCACAGAAATTGAGAGGAGCGATTGAAACAGATAGTTTCATGGTTCTGAGAGTGTCGTTGCGGCGTGAACCGTTGGTCCCATACCCTGCCCAAGGTAGGCCTCCTTGTTTGTCCGTACTCAGTGTGCTGGAGAAGCTGTTAGGGGGTTCTTGGAGGCGGTGACTCAATGTGCAAACCTATGACGCGCCAAGCCTTATTTGAGTCACAGAGGATGTTTTGGGCTGCATAGAATGGCATAGATGATGTGGAAAGATTGCAGGCATTGATCCATCCACGCTTAGCTACTTGAACAGGACATCACTAAATCATTGGCTAGTTGGCAGGTGTTTCACGACTCACTTCAGCGGTTTGGGCAAACTATCACGAGCCTGTTCAGTTTCGTAAAGCGACCTTGCCCGCGTTCCAGCGTCACACCAATACACTGTTGCATGGTCTCCTCAGTAGTAGATGTGGCATTTAGTATCTAGACAGATAAATACTTTGCGCATGTTGGCATTGCATGCAGAAATGTTCAAACTGATGGAATGCCGGGAATCCTTGTCAAGCCATTTGCAAACGGACATGGCTGCCCGTTAGTTTCTTTAGCTACACCCTCCCCCCCCCCCCGGAAAGCAAACTCGCGACTTTGTGCGCGTGTCAAAGTAGACAGCGAAATCCATGTATGTGCTGTTGTTTTCGGAGGATAGCTTGGAGACAGACGCCAATGTATTGTGTCGACACGGAGTTCGTTTTGACACATAGGGCCTCATAGGTTGTCAAAAAGGACTGGACCTTTTCTGGGTCTCTGCTCGTTTCAGAGACCAGGGATCGCTAGAGGGTCTCCAAGCTAAGCTTCTAGAGGATCCTTGCACTTGTCGCCGTCGTTGAGACCATGTGTGCGTTCCTCCAAGCCGCCAGCGTTCTGCATTCAGGCCAGTTGCCTTAGGTGCCTTTGTTTTGGTACGGTTTTGCTTTACACCACCAGGGGCCCAGGGGAGAGCCATTTTGAAGACGCCCGCCCAATCCCAACGGGCCAGACGCGGAGAGAAGCGGCCGCGCCTCACAAAAAGGCGCGGATGGACTCAGCAGGTTTAGGTGCTTTTTCTTGGTTCTCAGTCAATGCCTTGAAAGGAAACCACTTTCCTTTCAGAGGAATCAACTTATGCTTGAAGTGATGAGCATTGTAATTCACCACCAAAATGAGTGGGTTGACGTCTGCTGAAACAGCCGGCTTTAAGAATTGGACTTGTGGTGGTGCCTGTAACTTTTTAGTTTTTGCAAAATAACGAACAAACTAAAATCCAGGATAACATTTGTTTGTTTTATGTGTTACTTGACAGCTGCCAGATTGTTTGAGCTGGTTTACTGGTGAGCCTGAGATGGCCCAAGGGCAGCCAGTGCATTGCGGCGAGTCAAACTATGAGTTGCATGCCAACAGGCTGGGTTCATGTTGGCCTTTGACTTCCGGCAAGAACGTTTCTCCGCGCACGTTTTGGGGCAGATTTGCTTGACTTGGAATCCAACCAGGGCGTCGTTTCGCCCTGAAGGCAAAACGGTGCATACGTCTTTTGCAGACGGGGTCCCGGAAGAACCGAGGGCGTGGTTCTTGTCACACCCTTTGCAAAATGAAGGGGCCCGCCCGATGTGTTGATTCATATTTTTTCGGCGTCAAACCGGGACACCCGCATTTGTGTACTCGAAATCCGACCTTTGATCTTGGCTGGCGATGGGAAGCTAAGAGTGTCATCAAGGTTTCCACGTTGCCCAGGAGATTGGAGGAGACTCTTTGGTTGGTTGGTCCCTCTTTCGGGGGCAGCGCTGTGCTCCCACGGCAAGAAGTAGGCATCAATGCTCTGGTCCCCATTTTGCTGGCCCAACCAATTGAACACAGATTTGTTTGGATCATGTCAGTTGAGACTTTCTACCTTTGAGCTGTCAAAGCCGGAGCCCGTAATGCCAACCCTTGATAGTTCACTGCGCTATCATTCATTCGCAGTCCATGTTGATAGGTTGGATTGCCGTTGTGCCTTCCGAGGATGCGTGGTGCTTGTCCATTTTGAGAACCAGATTGGTTTCCTGAATGAAAACACACAGCCAAAACATGGTCTTGAAATACTTGCCAACTTGTTACTTAAACCACTCGCAAGCAAAGCTCAGACTGCCCTATTTGGAAAAAGGTGGTTTGAGAAATGTGTGGACATGGTTTTTGAGGCATGCATTTTCCAAGAGTAGCACCATAGCGCAGCGCCGCCTGACGGGCACCGCGACCTTTCAAGCCTTCGCCACTCGTGGGCGCGTGGCCGGTCCCGTTGGGAAACCTATTGGAAAGCATGTCGCCAGTCAGCCAAAGGGAAGGGATTCCTCTTCGGGCTTTCAGCATCGCGGCTTCCGCTCCAAAGTGAGCTCCCGCAACGATTCCCTCGGCCTTGCATGGCTACTGCCTCAGGTGCCGAGTCCACTTCTGCAGCTGTAATAGCTGAAGGCGACGCCCCCAGGGGCAGGAGGGAAGTAACACCCCCAGCACCGTCCAGAAAGCATCCCAGGGGTCGAAAATGGGAAAGGAGCAGCCGTTGGGAGTTTCGGGTGTGAGCAGTGTCCCACCAGCGACAGATTTTGGGGTGGCCATGGAGTGCTCTACTGCAGCGAAGTGAAGTGGCAACAATTTCACCATAGTCTTTGGTCAATCTAAAGACTTGACCCCTGCAACTCTGTGCGTGTAACGTTCATGGGATAGTCGAGTCCCCCTGTGTTGTTCTTGTGCAAACTTAGTGAGGAATCCATCTCCCTCCCGCACATGATTTTGGAAGAACCTTTGGCTTCTGATTCATCTGGTTTGGGCAACACTCAATTGCTCAAAAATTCAAAAAGCGGTGCTTGTGTATGTCGAAACTGGGCCCTTTTTGTGAGGATAGGGCCTGATAGGGCCGTTAGACTGTGGGTCACTGCAGATGCCTGCACGAACATGTGTGAACCCAACCATCTTTGCGAATAGTTGCAAAGGCACATTTGCTTCTACCAAACAGCGGCCAAAGTTCGCAAACCCAGCTTGCCTTGTGCGAACCCACAGGGGCAGGCAAGCCATTGGCGCACCCCAGTCTCGGCCTTTACTGAACCCATGACGTACTTGCTCCGTAGGTTTAGCCACGATTTGGATGTGAATTTTCGTGGATCCCGGACCCTTTGGTGGACACTTATGTCCGCCACTTTGGGATGTTCCAACGATGCAAGACCTGCGGGGCCGGGAGTTCCCCCCGTGCTAAAACAAGATGCAAGACCGGACCGGGACCAAGGTTGTAAGTTAGTCCGGAAGCGCTCCTGGCACCGGCCGCCGTGGCCCCTTGGCGATGTGCCGAAAGTAGATAGGGTCAGGTTGGAAACCAGCGAAAAGGGACATGCTGTAGGACGTGATGTCGTTGTTTTCAGGTATTTGGCGAAGTTCCAGAAATACTTGTAGTTTTTCATGATGGAGTCATGATTTTGACAGGGAGTTATCGAATGTAAGAGTCACCTACTGCCCAAAATGTGGCTTTGATTGTAAAATCAAGGGGGCCGCATGACCGCAGATCCCCCACAATTACTCAGATTTGGGTTGTCGCTCTCGTGCGATATGCGCGAGCTGCTCATAAATGCCTTCTGGAACCCGAGACAATCATACTCCCAAATGACCAAATGGGCTGGCCGTGCGGCCCTGCCGGGGTTCTGCGGGAAATTGGCAGAAGCGTTGGAAAAACATATTGGCCCAATCAGCGTTGAGTAGCCTGTTTGGGTTGCTGAAGAGTCGTTTCTGAGATGAAATGGCACAGTTACGGCTTTGCAATTCGAGAGGCCAAAGAAGTGCAGAACCGCTCTGGAATGCGACGCTCTCCTCGGAGTTCATTCGCACCGAAGCATGGGCACCTCCTTGTGGACTTTGTTTGGGCTCGTGTTCATTTGCGGGGGGGGGGGGGGGTAAATCAAGTCCAGTTGTTCAGTGGCACACTCTTCCGTGTCTGCTTGCCGAGTCTGCTTGCCGACTTCCCCCCAACAAAAACATGTTAGCCCCCAAAAGAGTTCTCTTTTTCTATTTGTCGATCGAATCGGGAACCAAGGCCTGGAATTTTATGTCACATTGTGAGCTGGCCAAGACCCCAGTGCGAACACATTTGTTTCATGCACTTGTCCTACCATTTCGGTACAATTATTGTGCCTTTGCCGTTCCATTTGTTTGTTTGTCTTCCTCGCGTCCTTACTTCTTTGGTTGGTTTCTTCCTGGATTCCTTGCTTCCTTTCTTTCTTGCTTGTTTGAAGTAGTATTTCATTTACGTCTTTCTGTATTTCTTTTTTATTTCTTTCTTTCTGCCTTCCTTTCTTTCTTGAAATTATTTCTCGCTTGCTTTATTTATTCCTTTCCTTGTTGCTGCTATTTCTGTAGTTATTTCTTGCTGTTTGTCTTTCGGCGTTCTTGTTGCTTGGATCTCGCCCGATTGCTGCTGCGAAACCGCCTGTTTACCTCGTTTTTACGAGTGGCGTGCACATGGTGTCGTAGACAGCATCTTTTTTTTGGCTTCGAGCTGAGGGTGAGGCATTATAGCCGGATGCTACACTACACCCTGCTTTCGAAAACTCTTTCCCGGTCTTGGCACGCACTTTTTGCGATTGCCACAAAATGTCCACTGTGGATGAGCCAATGCACCCAATTGAATTGAACTGCAACCCGCAATGGCAGATACAAATGCACCAGGGGTCGTTTATCCAAGATTATTAGAAGCAGACATGTTTGCTCTGTTGCCTTTTGCGTTGACCCTAAAAGCTGGTTGAACCCATCTCAATTGGTGTCGATTGTGTGGGACTGGGTGTGCTCTCCTTGTTCGGCACTCAGCTGGACGGGTTGGTACTTAGGCCGGGGTAATGTTGACAAGCGCCTGCTTGGCTTTGGCAAAAGCCCAAGGGGCCAAAGCTGTCAAGGGAGATTTAGGGTATTATGCTTTTGCCCAGTGATACACCATTCCTTTTTTAGGGGGAAGGTGTCCTTTACAAACAAGACGCACAAAACGATGTGCCATTTTCCCATGAGCAAGTAAGATTCTGGCTCAAGGGGTTCCTGCAAACTAGCCTCCCCTTCACGCTTGCGCGGCAGTTTCAACGACCGAGATCCAAAACTGACTGTTGGACCATTGTTTTCGTGTTTTATGACACCCCTCAGAAAGACAAATGCAAGGCACCCCATTAGCTGAAAGCTAAGGGGTCTCAGCCCAGAGAAGGTTTGGGGGTGGCTTCTGGAGTCAGAGCAAGGCTCAGGATTTTCCAGGGTGGTCTGGTGCAGGCCAGGTGTAAGGTTGAAGGAAGGTTCCAGAGTCAAGCAAGGTCCAATTTTTTAAGGTGGGGTTGGCAGGGTGTAAGCATACAGCAAAGTTGTCTGATGCAGGCAGGCGAAGGTTCCAGAAGTTTCGGGGTGGTCTGGGACAGAAAAGGTTCAAGGTTCCGGAGGTTTGGGGGAGGCCAGGCGAAGGTTCTGCAAGGGTTCTGAGGTAAGGTTCGCGAGAGCGCCGCATGCTGTTGGGGATATCGCCTGAGCTTCTTGTGATCTGGGGTGAATGGGACCCAATCTGCAAAGAGGACTCTGAAGGACCCTTGCTGATATGCTTCAGGCAGAGTTGTGGCGGCTGGAACCTCCAAAACGGCCAACCAGCTCATCCAGTCATCGAACATTGTTCAAAAAGAAGTGTGCACACATCGCTCTTGGGGGTTGACACTAGGTTTCCCATCCGCCCGGTGTTCCTCTTTTTGAGTTTGCCCCAACCTGCTAACCGAGGCAGCCCATGGGGGAAGGCGCTCCAATTCGCAAGAGAGAGGGAGAGAGAGAGAGAGAGAGAGAGCGAGAGCGAGAGTGAGAGAGATGTTGGCGTGACATTTTGAGCCAGCGGGGCTGATGATTGGACTGAACCTTGAACAAACTCTAGTAAAATTTAGCTGCTTCTGGCACGTGTTTTGAGTGGAATAGCCATGCCTGGGTACATATCCGGACTTCGGATTTGCAAAAGCAGTGGCACTATACGGGTGATGAGGAGTGTTTTTGATCTGAAGCCGGGAAAACTGTGCTTGCTTTCCATGGCCAATCGGAAAGTTTGGGAGGGAGGCCAGCGCCTTGGAATGGCGCAGCCAGATTGTGTGGAAACAAATGGGGTATTGTCCAGTTTCAGCCTTTGCTTTACATGCAGTAGTACGTCGGCCCCCGAAGAGCGTTTGCTGGGTCGCGTGCTCAACGGGGTTAATTTGGGCTTTCTGGGCTTGAAGCTATAGCTTATCAGCCGTAGGCCCTAGCTTAAAGCGATGAGCATGTTGCCCCTGGATGAACGTGGTACAGCAAAGTTGGAACCTACTTAGTTCCCTACAGCCGTGTTTGCATTCGGGAATGATGCCGCCGCCATCCGTTCCGAAGCTCGGGCACTCAACAGCGTGCCGCGAAGAATGCGCTGCGCAGCAACTATAGGGATTGCCTAAATGCTCAAGCGGGCAATGTTCGTGAATATGCGGGCTTGTGATGGCCGAAGCTCGGAACCGCCGTGAATGTGAGGAAATTGCCAAAGCCGCATGCAAAGTGAGGAGTTACGTATGGCCATCATCGAAAGTGTTGCTGATGCCCAACGGTACCTCAAGGAGCAAGCCGTTGCAAGAGCAAGTTGTAAACCGTCAGTTTGAGCTCACACATGTAGATACCACGTCACAGGCAGCTGGCATTCTCACCAAAGTCTTCGAATACTAATTACCGAGATGTGGCAACGAGCGCTTGGGCATATTCCCAACACGCCAGCCTGCGTGCTCTTTGCCGCCCTAAGGTCGGGGATGCGCACGCTCAGGAGTGGGGGTGTCTGAATTCCTCTCGGCGAATCTCCTAGCGAAGATTACTGACCGAGCCATCGTCGCCACTGCCGCCGCCAGGGTTGCTTGGCGGCTTGCCCCGGGAGAACGGCAGGGCAAGCGTTTATTGGCCGAGGTTTGTTGCTCACCAACTTCAAAGGTGGGCGAGACTAGAAAAACTCCTCCTGCACTTCAAGTTGCAGAAGCTGAGGATGGTTGTTCTGAGGGTTGAAGGCATTGGGTGACGTGACTGCCCAGCAAAGACACGGACATGTCAAGATGAGGATTTGGGTGCCACTGCTGCCCTCCAAGTCAGGTCAAGAGCGTTTTGATGGGCCGCAGTCAAACAGGAAGCTCGCTCAGAACGAAGCAGCACCACACGTCAAGCGCAAGCCCAAGCAGCCGGCCCCAGAATGAGCAGCACGCAAGGGTTGGCAGTGGCGCATCCATGACAGAAACCAGGGCAATTGGAGCCAGCGAAAGCAAAAGGGCGAACAAGCTCCTAAAACGCAGCCAAGAAGGTTAAAAACAGCCTGCAAACATGAGAATCGTTGATGAGCTCGAAGAACTTCCAATGAGGTCCAACGACTCTGTGAAGCAGCAGAGCCGGTCAGCCAAGCCATGCCGAGCTTAGGAGTTGCATGGGTCAGCCACGGATGGAGAAACCTGCCCGCTGGTGGTAGAAATGTTGAGTCATCCCATGAGTGCAGCACCAACGGCCGTTCACGACATCCGCAAGGATGCTCTAGGCATGTTTCGAGTGCTTGCAAGGAATTGCCGCCTGTAGCACACGGCTTGGAGCCCCTTGACTGTTTTGCTGCTTTGCAACAGGCCGACTTTAAACGCAGAGAGAGGGTCTGGAAACTAATGGTGTGTTTTACATCTTCAGCATCCTGCACAGTATGTCGGCCCAAGAAGAGCGCTTGTGTTGTGTCGCGTTGGTTACTGTGCCCTTGATTCTACAGATTGACAGGCCAAAACCAAGGCAGGGCGAATTATTCAGATGTTTTTCGTATACCAACAGGCACACAATTCCAAAATCCAGCCAAGGTCCATAGTTCGCCCCAGAATTTCCGTAAGAAGCTTTCATTGGCCAAACGTTGGTGGTTTCTGACCGTCAGCACCCAGTCGGCCAGGCTGACAACGTTGTCTTTCGCTTGCGTTTAGCAGGCCTAGTTTTCCTCTCAAATTCGAGTGTGCGGCTGGGCCGGTTGCGAGTGGCAACCCAAGACCAACACGATTTGGAATAACCGGTTGTCCGAAGTAAAGTGCCGTTTTTAGAAAAATACTTGTGCAAACGCGCCCCTGCGCCCAATGACTCATGACAGTATTTTTGTTCTCTTGGTCCACTTCACTTTTCTCCCAGCCTTCAAGGAGGGTTCCCAGAAAAAAACGGGAATTTGATTCATGGTTTCAGCTGTACTTCGTCATTCTTTTTCAGATGCTTGACGCCAAGCCACCTCTCTCAGTAGGAATGAAAATCCGGATCGGCCAAGCCTGCATGGTGAACGGCTTGCCCCCAGAAAAACGGCAACAACCTCCAAGCGAAACTTGTCCACCTGCTAATTGCGCAATCAAATCAAAATATACAAAATATACATTGAGGGTTCGAGACATGCGCCGGGTCACTCGATCCAGTCTGCCGCGAACGACAAATTCTCTCGGCCAACGAGATTGTGGATGAATGCGCTGTGTTTGATCCCCGACCGTACCGTAGGACTCCCGTTCGTAGGTGATCATCCAGCGTGCCTGCAAGTTTGAACGCCCTGCTGCTCAAGACAGCTGGCCTTTGGCTCTTTGAACGCCTTCTAATTCAAGACCCGGCATGCGAAGTGCATCTATTCTCTTTGCCGTTTGGAAAGCGGCGGCGAAGATGGTGAGCGCTAGCCATGTTGCCGACGAGACAACAGCTTCTCCCCTTCAGACATGAGTGGTTTGCTTGGGCGATTCTAGGCCTATAGTGACATGCTTTGCAGCCCTGTATGTCAGATTGAGAAGTGGGAACATTCCTGAAAAAAAAAAAAAACGAAACCACCCTCAACTATAACGTCTTGTTCCTCAGCTCCCAGCCCGTTCAACTGCCACCAGGTCCAAGATCTTCAGAGGCTTGGTTTTTCCGTTTATAGGTACGGGACCTCAAGTTTTTCCCAGTGCGATTCGAGACATCAAAACATGGGTGCAATCTTGGGGGAGGGTCTCAACCATCACTAGATGTGGCATGACGTGGCTTTCCGCCCAATATATATATTCTTACATCTGTCGCAGGCTCCCTTTGCCAGGTTTGTATCACCTGGTGGCTTGTTTCCTCTTTCCCTGCCTCAAGCTGGTTGACACGAGCACTCCTTTCAACTTGGGGTCAAGTTACTCAGCACCTTCCAGGAGCCTTGCGCCCTGTTCGCCCCTGTTTGTCGGGGGCGCTGAGGGGATGGCTGCCGCTGCCGTGCTAGGCAGCGCCCGCCCATGGCCACCTGCGCCGGTTCGAAAAAGACTTGAAATGAGGCTCATGTCTGGCGTTTGAGTGGGCAACTTGTTTGCAAGGCTTGTGCTTCTTTATGTTCGTGTCCGAGTAGAACCTCAAAAGAGGGTGCGGCGCTTAAGGTCTGATTTGTTCAAAATCGGCACGAATTGAGAGCGGGGTTTGAAGCTTTCATTGTGTGCGTAACCAACCAACCAGCCATCCAACCAGCCATCCAACCAACCATCCAACCAACCATCCAACCATCCAACCATCCAACCATCCAACCATCCAACCCGCCATCCAGCCATCCACCATCCAACCATTTAACCATCCAACCATCCAACGCAGCCGTCGATTTGTCCATCCGTCCATCTGTCCATCTGTCAATCCCGCCGTCTATTCGTCCATCCATGCATGCTTCCAGAGCGCCTCCGGGCTAGAGTTCTAGAAGGGTTGCGGTTGCTGCTGGGGATGCTTGTTGGCATCCTGCAATCCTCTTTAAACACGACATGTCGAGATGTCAAGAACAACCCTCAAGACACATGCTGTTAAACCTTGGCACATCGCCCACAAAAGCAAGACTTGGGTGAGGATGATGCACAGGGAGGAGATCCTACTGTACCAGGGTGAGGGGAGATGGCACAATTCCCTTTATGCGGTAAGGGGGATGGCTAAACCACAATGTGGGAATCGTGATATCTACTTTCACGCAACTGTCGACATCAGTAGCATCTGCGAAAGGTTGCCCGAATTGACTTGGACGCGCCTCGTTTCTGATATTTGTCGTGTGCATATAGGCACACCTCCTTCGGGGCGTCAAGCACCGAGAACACATCGGAAAACCATGGGGAGTTGCGAAGCTCCCATGAACCCCTTGGTCGAGATCCAACATGACCCTAGTGAGCAGTTTCTGATTGGCCTCAGTGAAATTCTGTGGATTGCTGGAAGGATCATAGAAACCGGTTGCAGGACCATCTGCAGGAGACTTGCCAACACGCACTCAACAAATTGGCTTTGGTCACTTGTATGTAGGACTTTTGGTAGCGTATGAAAGCTTCTACCATGCTTGGGTTTGGTCTTGCTTCTGTCCTTCCAAAATGCCAACTGCCTTTTCACGAAAGCTAGCTGTGCTAGCGGGAGAGCCTGGGGTCCTCACCAAACCAACGTTTCTGTGGGGTTTTGCCTCAAGCTGATTAGAGTCTCTCAAATTCTTCCGCTCTGAAGTTCTGTTAGGGGCAAAGGGTCAAAGCTTGGGGCATGTCTCTTTCTCAGGCCTCTGTTGGGGGGCTGCAAAACATCCAAACCTGACCGAGGGGTTGGTCTATCCGAATTCGTGCAACGCTCTTACTTGCGCGACCGCCTGGTGAAGACGCCAGGCAAAGTCAAGCAACTGTTGGCTTTAGCGTGCATTCAGCAGGCCCAGTTTTCTCCCGAGGGACTCGCAAGTCGAGCGCGGCGCTGGTTCCGGCAACTGACCTGCGGTGAGGTGGCAAAAAAATCATTGAGCAACACGTGCTTGTTTGGAACACTTTGCTCATACACATGCGTGCCAGAACCACACAAGAATGCTCATAGTTGTTTCTGTTCTCACGGTCCGCTGCACTAGGGATTTGCTTCTGAAGGGCCAGCCAAGGGGAAGACTCAGGGATCCATCCTTTTGGAGCATGCCCCAAAAACCAAGAAATGTTTTGTGTTTTCTTGTGTAGAACGATACGGCGTGATTCAATTCTTGGACAAGCGGCTTGGGGCTTATCTCCCGGATGGGAACACAAGCAAGTTGGCTTCAGATTGCCAATTTTGAACGCCCTTCACAAATATTCGATAGAAAGGGAAATGGTCACTCGGTATGTTTCATTGTTTGTTCGTGTTTTATTCGCACCTGTTTGGTTCAAACATCTTGTTTTGTCGACGTGTTGGGACTAGGAACCAAAAGTGGTCTCCAGATTCTCAGGGGCCAAAACATGGAGCCATGGGCTGTCAGGGACGTTTTGTGGCAGTTGGATGCACATCTGGCCAACCCTCCCCAACAGCCCCCATTTTTCCCGAAGAGTGGAGCAAACGCCCTGAACCGGTCCTGAGGAGAACATTGCACCATACGTTGGGCTTCTGAAATGCGGCGGGAACTACGTTTACTCTAAACGTCCTGCTCAAGATCGCCGAAACACAGAAAGCCTGTCCAAATAGAAGCCACTCAGAGCTTTTTAGCCTGGCCTGGGGCAGGTTGCCCCTCTGGGTGACAAAGAAGTAGCCCGTGTTGGATCGCATAAGAGAGGCACAGAGAGATCAGTATGTGGCTATCCGATGAGGAAGTAGGTTGAACAAAGTTCCGTGCAGAAGCTGCGCCAAGATTTCAATTGGGACAACTTGGGGTTACTACTTACCCATTCGCTGACCAGATCAGTCGAGGTTGTTTGTCGCCTTGAACCCAAACAGGCCGTTTGGCCTGGGCGGCGAGTTCTCTCGGATGGAACAGATCGGCTTTGATCTGGGCGAGCCGCAATCGATCCCCCTGAGCAAGATACTTTCAGCACAGTTGTTTTTTTTTGCAATCGTTTGCCTCTTCCTCATCAGCAGCTGACAAAAGGTTGGCCGTTTTCGGAGATCCCATGAAGGGCGGACAGCACACACATGCACATCAACAAACCAACAAGTTGCCAAACAAACATACAAACCAACAAAAGCAAGCCAGCAAGCAAGCACCAACTTCAACTGAACACACATGCATCAATTAAGAAGTAAACAAACAACAAACAAACAAGCAAGCAAGCAAGCAAGCAAGCAAGCAAGCAAGCAAGCAAGCAAGCAAGCAAGCAAGCAAGCAAGCAAGCAAGCAAGCAAGCAAGCAAAAAAAATCAAAAAAAAGCCAAAAAAAAGCAAAAGCAAACAAGCAATAAAAAAACAAAAGCAAACAAGGTCAAACAAAGAAATAAAACACAAACAAGCAAGCAAAAGCAAACAAACACACAAACAAACAAACGCACAAACAAGCAAGCAAGCAAACACACAGCCAAACAATGGAACACACAACCAAGCAAAACAAACAAACAAACAATCAATCAAGCAAACAAACAAGCAAACAAACACAACATCACACAAACAAGCAAGCGACACAACAAACAAGCAAGCAATTAATCAAACAAGCACACACACACTAGCAAACAAACAAACAAACAAAACAGACAAACACAAACAAACAAGCAAACAAACAATCAAACAATCAATCAAACCAACACACAAGCAAAGAAAACACAAGCAAAAAGAACAAACACACAATCAAACAAACACAGGCAGACAGGCAGGCAGGCAAGCAAGCAAACACAGGCAAGCAGAAACAAACACCAAAACATGAGAAGCGCATGAAACAAGTGAACCAACAAAAAGAACCAGGCAAGCAAGCAAACAGACAACAAACAAAAGAACAGAAGAAAAGAAAGAAAGACAGACATAAAGAAAACAAGGACGCACAAAGAAAAAAAACACAAACAATCGAACAAACAAACATACAATCAAGCAAACAAACAGACAAATAAACAAACAAACAAACAAAACAAACAGACTCGCAAAGACCAACCAGCCAGCCAACCACGCCAAGCAACCAGGCAAGCAAGCAAAGAAACAGACACAGAGACACAACTTAGAGACAGAGGCACGAGCAAGCACTTGACAGTTCGAGGAAAATACACTTTGTAAGACACGCAGGCACAAACACGTGCAAACACAATGGCAAAGAAGCGCACAAGCACAAGCGCACAAGCACAAGCGCACAAGCACAAGCAAACACACACAACCCAGGAAAGC